CCTATAAGATCCAGGGAGGCCAGGCTGCTGGTTACTACTCCAGCTTCCTCCTGAGTTCATCTTTATGCCCTCCTGCTAACCACCTCTCAGGTAAGTCGGGTGTCTGGATCTTGACATCCGGCATCCTCTAAAACTTGTATAGTCTTATTAAAATATTCTGCCCTCCACGAAATCTCACAGTTTAATTGAGACCCCCCTCACATGGCGAGGGGAATGTGCAAATACATAAATCCTTTAAATGGTTCAAAGGTTAGAAAGTCTTAATTCTCTGAAATCTTCACATTGAGAGAAATATTTCTGCGGTGTTGTATCTATCGACACAGACCGTGAAATTGGATTTTCTAATTTCAGATCCAGCGTGAATTTACTAAAAACCAAATTGACCTAGGAATGTTCAAAATAGATTTCAGAAAGGAACTCTACCTGGAATTTACCACTAGATGGCAACCACACCCCGGGAAAGGCCTACCTCCATCCTCCGAAGCCCTAGGCCTAGGAACATCACCCTGTCCAGCTAGGGACAGGCCCTAGCCGCTGAAAGTACAGGTCCTAGCAGATAAAAGATCGCCCTGGGATCCTCATCCCTCCTATTAAAAAAAAAAAAAAAAAAAAAAAAAAAAGTCCCATCTTCTCACCCTTTTTCTTACAAACTACCTGTGGTTTATATTCCTGTCCCAAAGGACTTCTCCCCGTGATAAAATTTCCTTTGTCGCTTTTGCGCTCCTTTTCCCCTAGGCATGGCCCAGCTGGATGCTGTCAGGCCATCCGCTCCACTCACAGTGCTGAGAAGGGGCTTTATTCCCTGGAGTGTCCCTCTAGGAACTTAAGAGGCGTGGGCAGGTGTGTGGAGTGCCAGGCAGAAGCAGAGAAAAAAAAGAGGCTAGTCTGGGAAGAGAGGGAAATGTTTAAAGAGAGAAGTGGGAGCTGGGTCTAACACACACTCCACACATTTTCCAAGAGTTTATGGGGGTTCTCTGCATGTTTTCCGGTGATGTTCTGCCTTTGTACAGTTAACAGAGCAGCGTGAGAAGCAAGGATGTGAACATAGGTACTTCATTATTGTGCTGTTTTTTCTCCACTGCCACACTGCCCCACCCTTGAAGGCCTCGACCCCAAACTCCCACTCAGGCTCCATCCCTAGAATGCATTGGCAAGGTGATTACAAGGCCTGTGGAAACCACTTCCGAGGACAGGGTCTCCTCTGAAGAGAGCTTGGAGATCTGAATAGCTAGGAGTCCTTGTGTCTTAAGTCTCTTTCTGAGAGGCAAGGACCAGGAGGGAGAAATGATCCCTGCATTTGAGTCTTGGCCTTTTGTGATCTGTCACTGTGCCGTTGCAGAGAAGCTGTAGCCCTACCGGTATCACAGGCTACTGTCAGGACCAAGCAAGAGACAGACACTGCCTGAAACATTACTGATGATCACAGCTGTGTGCACCTCTTCTGGAACAAGTCAACGGAGGAGAATGTGAGGCCAAAGCCATCTTAGAGACACAGTCCTTCCAGTGTGGAAGAACATGTTAAATGACTCAAGAGAAGTACTCAGCCAAGACCAGAATGTGGGGGCAATGGCAAATGCATGGGATAATGCCAGTTAGGTCAATTTATTCATCGTATGTATGTATGTATGTATGTATGTATTCCAAAACATTGTATCATACAGGATAGTACATACCTTCTTATTTGGTAATTTCATAAAATAATTAATTCTTTAAAAAAAAAAAAAAAGCTATGCTGTGAGAAGTCTCCTAAGTCCTGATATCCTCCATAAATAAAAGTCTCAGGATGCCTGGTACTAAGATCCACAGATGCATGCTGTGTGATTCTTTTCAGAAGAAACTGCCTGTAAGAAGGTGATAGTCCAGCCAGGCAGTGGTGGTACATGGCTTTAATCCCAGGACTCCAGGGTGGGGGTTGGGGAGGAAGCAGAAGCAGCTGGATCTCTGAGTTTAAGCCCAGCCTGGTCTACAGGGTGAATCCCAGGACAACCAGAGCTACACAGAGACACCCTGTCTCAAAAATAAATAAATAAATAAATAAAAATAAAAGCAACAGTTGTATATACCTGAGTACTGAGTGAACATACAATGAAGGAATATTTCAATTCCATGGATGATTCCACTGACCTTGTGACTGTGGTTTTCTTTTAAAGCAAAAAAAAGAGGGAGGGAAACTTTGACCATGTGATATAAACACCTCCATCTTGCAACAGTGCTTGGAAGAGATGAATGACTGCTTCAATGGCCAAGGGGAAACAGACTTTTAAAGAGTGAGCAGTGAGCACTGTTACTTGTACATTGTGGGTACACACAGCAGTGAATTGGGCAACTTTTCCTATTTGTGTATATTGAAAATGTTTCATAGTTTTTAATTGAGAAAATACCCTCCAAGGAGATCTAGAGACTGTTAGAAAAAAAAAACAGGGAAGACACAAGACAGGGTTATCAAATGGGATAGGTCAAAGAGCAACTGAGAAGGCCAAAGGAAGGAGGATACAGGGTGGGGAGACCAATCTGAGTCAACTAAATGAAGATGAGCAGAAAGAACATTCCAGAAGCAGCAGATCCAATTGCACAAGCAGAGAGACTCTAAGTGGCACTGCACTGGTCACTAGTTTTTACTAAAAATGAAAACAATTCATCATAGTTTGTTCAGAGCATTCTTACTTTTAGCTCTGAAATCGTCAGGAAACCTGTCCATCTCCATACATGGAGGGTTGGTCACCTTAGTGTCCCATGGTTACGTGGAAAATTGTCTTGACCAAGAAAAGAGAAACAGAACTTAGCTAGAGAATTATGAGCTACAGGTTCAGAAATGAGTCTGAAAAAAAGAGTCTGATTGCTGAGAAGTAATTACTACCCCATCAACACCAAACTTCAAGAACAGAACCTCAGGACACCCAAAGCCAACTGCCCTAGAGCAAGCTGGCTTCTCACTTCCTCTGTTCTGCTACAGGGAGCCTATAGATGGCGCAGCTGATGACTGTGTCTGACCCCTAATTTCAACTTAATTTATGTCTATATTCTCCATGCACATATTATGAATACACATTTCACATACATATCCTTTAGGCAATTGCAATGTGCATCTTCTCATTTATTCACTGTAAAAAAAAAATTCTCCGTGGTGGCAGCCAGCAAGATGGCTCAGTAGATAAAAGTGCTTACTGAGTGATAGGAAAAAAAACTACTCCCAACTCTACCAGGTTGTTCTTTGACCTCCCCGCACACATGTTCTGTCACACACACACACACACACACACACACACACACACACACACACTACACACATAATATAAATAAAAGCAATTTAAGGATGATAAATTGTCCTTTGACATCCCCACACATGGTCTCTCTCTCTCTCTCTCTCTCTCTCTCACACACACACACACACACACACACACACACACACACATGCACCTGATACACACAAAGTAAATAAATGTAAATTTAAATTAGGCATGATAACATCCAATAAATAAATGGGTCAATTAATAAATTAAGGCTTAGAGAACTAACTTGTGCAAGGCCAAACAGGGAATAGCAATATAGCAATATACCTCATTATCTGCCACATGGGGCTTTCTGTAAATAGTGAGTTATTATATAGATAAAATGTCTAGAATAATTACTAGCATAGAAGAAGAAATTGATTAGGGATTAACTCCTATTGATGGTTAGTTCTGTGCCACGTAGCCACAGCCTACAGAAGGAAAAGAAAGCATAGAACTCTGAATTTAAAGAAAAATCAGCTCTTGTCTGCACTGAGAGCAATTTATCCCAGGGCTCCTTGGCACTTGATACCTCTGGTTTTATAGACTGGTCTGAGCATAAAGTAAGAGGCACCATCAGAGAAGTGACATTCACTAAATTCTTCAAAGTCAAACTCCCCTGAGCCCTCCCCACTGGCTGTTCCCTACTTGACTTCCTAAGCAGAAATGTTCAGCTTTCACACAGGAGACAAGCATTGCTCACACAGCTAACCCCTCCCCCTGCAATGCCTTCCCCAGCTAAAATTCCTCCCATCTTGGCAAATCAAGGAAATCAAGACACCTGAGATGGAAGAGCCTATGGCTTTCATCTTGACCTTAAGCTCCCCTGGATGACTCTTGGGAAAACCATTTTACAATCCACAGAGGAAGCTCACCCCCCACCACCACCACCTCACCCCATATACCATTGCTAGTAGCAAGGTCCCTGTCCTAACTCATTGCCCCCCTAGCTATGGCTCCCACGTTCTCAGGATAATCAGGAGGACAGCAGTCAGTCTGGCCACCAGAACCTTTGATAACATTGTTGATCACAGGATATCCATTGAGATCTTGAGAACTGACAACCCAACAGCTGGCACCAGCTTCCCTGAGCACAGGCTGATGGTGCTATACACCGGAAGTCTTTCTGCCCCTTGCCATGATTTGCTTGCTTATCTTTGCAATTATAACTGGCATCTCACAAAAAGAACATTGGGGGCAGCATTGGGCCAGATGGGAGAAGCAAGAGGGAGCTGCTTTGCGCCTCCCCATCCCCCACCAAGAGATACCAGGGCTCCTGATGTTTTGTGATGAAGGGAACCATTATGCATGTGAGAACTGAACTGTTCCCAGAGGCATTCCTCCCATCTTGAAACTAAAGCTATACCCTAACTCTACACAGACTCCACTAACATCCAACGCAGGTTAGAGAAGCCCAGATGGCATCAATCCTGCCCCAAACACAGCTTCAGCAGACTCTGAGCCAGGTATAACAGGTAACCTAGCACCAGCAGCTCAAGCCTCCTCCAACCTCCAAGGCCTGCTGAGCCTAGGTCAGGAGTCATCCTGCCCATCTACCACCAGCCAAGTGCACACTTCTACTGAAATTCAAAGGCACACTGCAGAAAAGCCTCATTAATTTTTCACAAGATTTATCTAATAGTGGCTGAGCAGAGCTGAGAAAGCCACATTCAAGTGCCTGTGCCAACAGCTTGCAAAGAGTTAACCCATTAGGCCACATCCTGGTGAGCTCATCCCTGCCGCTGGAGCCTGCTCAGTGGCTGGGATTTGCAGCACACTGACTCTGGATGTAGCCAGGGTGGCTTTCTCCAGCTGGGATGCAGGACTTGAGCAGAAACTCACTGGTAGCTTCTTCGCTGCGTGAGCGCCGACTGAGTCCCAGGTCCCCCATCTTCCCTCAGGACACTGTGCACAGTAAGTACAGAAAAGACAGCCCTCACCCCACCCCGTCCTTCGCTGTGTCTTCCTGGAAGAAGGAAGGTTTGAAGTATGTTGAGTCTCTGAAGTGGAGTTGGGAAGGCAGTGGGAATATCAGAGACCAGATGTGATGAAGTCAGCTTCAAGCAGACTGCTGAAAGACAGGCAGGAGCAGGTGAGCTGGGTGCCTCTTACTGTACACCTGGAAAAAGATCCCATGTGCTTGGGGAGCTCCTAGCCTTCCACTCCTGGAGGCCATTAAAGGAAAGGAGTGAGCAGGGCCCCTCTGTCCTGGCAGGAGCAGAAGTGCCAAACTGTGAAGTGCAAAGACCCCCACAGACCCCAGAGTCCTGGGTGCAGACTGTCTGTCCCCCGGGCTTCCTACATCCAACCTGAGCAGCTGCAGATCTGTCCCTTCTTCCTGCAGGTGTGGCTGGCACCCTGGGCAGGTGCCAGGGAAACAAGGTGGAGCACCCTGGCTTGGGCAGTCTTCATTTCAGAAAGGAGGGAGCAAGACAGGTACAATAAAAACCCAGACAAAGGCATGGCTCACTCAGGCAGAGGAAGGACATGGGGACTCCGCCCCTCAGTAAAACCAAATGTAAGCGCACTTATCCCCTGAGCTGTTTTTCCACCCTGTAGCCCCACAGGGCCCATGCACCAGTTGTGTGGCCTGAAGAGGAAGGTGAGTGGCACCCTCCAGATAGCTCTGACCTTAGAGAAGAAAGTCCCCTTCCTGAGAGTGCTGTGAGCTGGGGACAGATGGTGGCGGCAAGGCCATGTTGACAGCAGCAACGTATTCCACACTCTCTAGTCTCTCTACACTATCCGGCCAGGCACAGGGCCACGCACACCTTATCAGGGGAGTAGACATCCCCAAATGAACTCCTGGAAGTGGGGAAGTACAACAGGAGGAGATAAAGACCCTGGGAATGGGCGCCAAGCCACTGCAGCTGAGTAGGGTGATAGGCAGAAATTCAGGGAGAGAGAGATCAACTTCCCACCCATGCTGGGTCCTGCTCAGGGACATGAAACCATCGCCATTCCAATATGCAAAGCCTGTGGCCTGCCTTATGCTCTTGCTACCAGTCTACTGGCTGGGCCAGCCTCCCTGCTCTGAGGTCATCTGTGCCCTCTCCTCTCCTCCATGTCACCAGGTCCCAGAATAGACCAGTTCCTATCAGAGCTCTCTAGGTGGAAGGGTCTGGGGAGGAGGGACAAAGGAGTCAGATAACTCCAGGCCTGGGTGAAGCAACACAGTGGGGCCTCTTTTAGCATTAAGGTAGCTAAATGTGTTGTGCGCAGGGCACCCAGTTCTGCTCAATCTTTAGTAAATAATTAGATGCATTTGGGGTATGTGATACCCAGATCAGTGTTAGATCATTCTAATGCTCAGAAGTACTATTGTTGATTGGAGATCAAATTCAGCTAACCACTTTGCCCCTGCATTTACTAGATGGATATGAGAACCCCGTCTATACCGATCCCACACTTCCACTCATTCAGATAAAAGCAGTGGCAGCTCGAGAGAGCTGGGAAGTGGATTCTAAGTAGAGGCAGGCAGCTTCAGAGCGGCAGGGTTCTTGAAAGGAAGGTAGTGAAGAAGAAAATGTCAAGTTCTGTCCCCTAGAAAGAATATAACACACTAGAATTTGAGGTCAAGCCTCTGGGAGCCTCAGTTTCCTAGTCTGTAAAATGGGAATGATGCTAACTGTACCCGCCTCACCCAGTGCTAGGCAGACTTGGAGACCCTCCAGGTAAAGAAAGCACCAGATGCCAGACATTTTATCCTCCACGGTGATGGTGGTGACCTTGTAACCACTCTGCCCCACTGGCCCCGGCTCAGAACTCACAGTCTCATCCCATGGCTCCTCAGCTTCTCTACCTCCCACCCATCACCCAAACACCCATCATGGCAGTTCTGTTCATTAACTGTGTTCCAATTAAAGTGTCCCCCCTCACTATTCCCTCTATTTGAAAATGAAAATAAAAGTGCCACCCAGAAGGTAGCATGGACCTGAACTTGGACTCTGAAGTCACAGACACCCAAACCCATATTTCAACCTTGTCCTCCTGCTCATCTAATTGCTCAACGCTCTCTGATCTTCAGTTCTTCATCTGAGAAATGGGGTGGGGATGATAGTTGCACCTCCCTCAGGGGCTTGCCAGAAGGACTCGGTAAAGCAAATAGCATATCCCTGGCACACAACAAAGGGGGAGGGGGTGAGTGGTAGTTAATCAGAGTTGACATGGAGTCAGCTACGAACCTCACCACCAGGGGGCAGTCTTAGTGAGGTGAGAGCCTTGATAGGAAGGACAGGGCAAGGGATGTAGGTCTGTCCTACTTCTGGGTCCTCAGCTGCCTCTCAACTGCCACTATACCAGCTGCTCTAAGATAGGAGGTGATGGTTTACAATGGGCCCCTGGGAAGGAACAGCGATATAGTAATACAAAGCCAGCCAGGTTTCAACCCTCAGTGACTCCAATCAAAAGTGGAAGGAAACGAACTCAGTAAACTGCTTTGCAGACACCTGCAAAGCCCTATCCTATGCTACCCAAACTCCTCTGCTTATTTAACCATTTAGCAAAGTTCTGAGCCAATGCTAGACAGCACAGGAAGCGGAGGAGCATTTGCTGTAGTCCCAAGGGACTCATGGAGAAAGAGCTCTGGAACCACAAGGATAGTCATAGCCATTCGTCTTCGTCTTCAGAGCAATGAGTCACTCCTTCCCCCTTACAGTTCCTCCCATTAAAGGATGCATTTCAGGCACTTCAGACTCTATTGCAGGAAAAACACCTTCTGCCCGTATTATCTCGGCCATTCATTATCACTCTCAGCCTGCAGATCTTCCGCACCAAGCCATCTGCTGAAGGATGAGTATGTGAATGTGTGAGGAAAAAGCCAAAACTTCCCTTTCGTAGACCCCAGTTCTCTCCCGTTTCACTAAGGCATCTCTATGTTCCTCCAGGTACAGAGAGTCAGAGAGGAACTGACTAGAAGGTATGCTTCCATCTGCCTGAGAAAGCCTCCCCCTGAGCATCTTCTAGTCGCTTTCTCCATACCCACACTGCACTGTTCGTAGCTTTGTCAGCTTAGCAGGTTGTTAGCAACTTCAAGAATATCATAGAGATGGGAGAGCACAGGATTTGTGCTCTTCGGTTACTGGTTTCTGTTTCCAGTATGTCTTTGAGACTCATGCAGAACATTACTTGTGTCAGAAGTTGAAGTATTCCATTGTGTGAATATGCCCAATGTATTCTCCTCCCCCAGTGTAAAGCTTTCACAAATATTCCTATACACAGGTTTTTTGTTTGATTTTTTGTTTGTTTGTTTGCACATGTGTTTAATATTTAGGAGCAGAAGAGCTAGGTCAAGCAACAGGGGTGTGCTTAACTCCATGCAACTCTGAGTTTGCACAACAGTACAGGTCTACACCAAGTGACAAATGTGTTATTGAAAGAGTTTGACATTTTAGCTATTCTAATGAATGTGTGGTGGTGTCTCCTTGGGGTTTGTCTTGCACTGTCTTTGTGGAATCACTTTTTCATGGGTGTTTGTGTTCATTTTTTATCTTGTGATGAACTGAGAATATCTTGCCCATTTTTAATTATTTGAAAGAGACAGATTTTGGAGAACATATTGAACACACCTGTTAACTTCAATCACACTTCTGCATTCAACACTTGGAGGGAGTGCCCCTTTTGATGATTTCCTTGGGGGAGAAACTGGAGTTTTTAAAGCCAATGGCAACTTTAAAAAAAAAAAAAAATTCTTTCTTTATCTACATTTTATGTGTGAATATTTAGCATGTTTACCTGCAGGCCAGAAGAGGGCATCAGATCCTATTACAGATGGTTGTGAGCCATGATGTGGTTGCTAGGAATTGAACTCAGGACCTCTGGAAGAGCACCAGTCTTCTTAACCACTGAACCATTTCTCCAGCCCCTTCAATGGCAACTCCTTAACTCCATGGCTAAAGACCCTGGGAAAAGGAACTGACTCCTTTACTCAGAGGCAATTTTAGTACTAGCTTTCATCTATCCTGGATGACCTAAGGGATTGTTGCATAAATCTTCATGGAATCTTCTTCAATAACAATAGCCCAGGTTGTTAGGAGGCAGAGGCAGGCAAAGTTCTGAGAGTTCAAGGCTAGCCTAGTCTATATAGTAAGTTTCCACCCACTTAGAGCTAAATAGTGAGGCCCTGTAGGAAGGGAGGGAGGAAGGGAGGGAGGGAAGGAGAGAGGGAAAAAGGAAGGAAGGAAGGAAAAAAGAGAGAAAGAAAGGGGAGGGAGGGAGGAAACTAAAGAATGGCCCAGGGCTAGCATGATGGCTCAACCAGTAAAGAAACTTGTCATAAAGCCTGACAACCTTCGTTCTGTCCAGGGATCCACAAGGTGGAGGACTAGAACCTTCTTCCACAAGCTGTCATCTGACTTCAACACATTAGCTGCACATGCATGCCCCCATAAATACACATGAAAAAAAATAACAGTAATGACCCACTTACTGACCTCACCTCTTTCCAAAACAAAAGAAACAATCATCTTTCAGTAATGATGGAAGCTTTCAAAATATTTCCACGATGTTCCTATGCCACAGATCCCTCTGTTCTCTCCTAATTCCTCCCCTCAGTGTCTTCTGAACCTCAGAGATTCTTTCTTTCTTTTTTTTCTTTTTGGATTTTTGAGACAGGGTTTCTCTGTATCACCTTGGAGGTTGTCCTGGAACTCGCTCTGTAGGCCAGGCTGGCCTCAAACTCACAGAGATCCGCCTGCCTCTGCCTCCCGAGTACTGGGATTAAAGGCATTCTTATAACTAAATTCCCCAACTCTTTCAAGCTCCCTGTGATACTGATTCCTCCCTTTAACTTGAATTAAAAGTGGATTAACAAAGCCACCAGAGCCTTCTGGAAGAGAGCAATGCTTCCTCCTCTCATAAACCCCAAGAAACATCACCCCTGCTCCCCACTGTGCTTACAAGCTCTGCCTTATCAC